GCGGCAGAGCGAGGGAGGGAGGCGGAGCTGGGCAGGGAGGTGGGGGAGGCGGTAGAGGAGGACTGAAGGAGGAGGATAAAATCGAGATTTTGGATGAACTTTGCATTGGAATTTGGGGAGAGGGGTCTGGACACAAATTTTTTTAAAAAAATGGGGCTACAGCACATTGTTAAAAGTTAGGGGGCGGGGGCACATTAAAAATTAAAAAATAGGGCCTTAAAGCAATTTTCCCAAAAATATATCATTTTATAGGACATTCTGGTGATTTATCCAATATACTGTATATGTTGTATTGGTTCGGATTGGTCTTTTAAACTAATTTATGTGCAAAACTCATTTATTTTGATGGAGATCATTGCGAGATGGAGATTGGAGGGTCCAAGAAAGAACCATGGCATGTGACCAAAGTAGTCAGTTTAAATATTTTCATTTAGGGTTCGTTTGATTTGAAAGAAGTATTGGAACTTGTTAGGATCCAAGCAATTTGGGGAATCCACCCTTAAAAGCTAGCTGTTAAGGAGGAAGAACCACGTCACTTAAATACCCCATCAAGCTTTCCATTTTACTCGATGTGGGACTTGTTGGCCTTCTTATTTTGATGATGTTTAACAAACAATTTATCATTAATGTTGTTTGTCTAGTATTTATGTTTTCTTATTTATTATAGACAAACAACGTAGTTGGAGGTTGGATGAATTGAGCCTACACGATCATATCAAGAGGAGGTTGGTGGAATAGTGGAGTGAAGCAATGCACATTCAAGTCAAGATCCAAGTTCAAGCTTCATCCGCAAGATTACCAAGAAGAGCTTATTAAATATCAAGATCTAGCTTGGGTAATTTAGTTTAGGTTTTATATTATGTGTGTTAAGTACCTTAAGCTCAATATTATATACACACACGTATTTGGTTTCTATGTATATATATAGTTATATATATATATACATGCATGGTTTTGGGTTTTCATGTTTACAAATATAAAATTATATATTTCATATTTATTATTGTGATTTGGTTTATCTACTTAGATATGAAACAAATATATTGTCATATACATACTCATATGTTTTATTTTCTATTGTATTTGTAAAAATATTGTATTCTTAGTTTTTGGACTTAACAATAATCATATACATATTTTATTAAGTCTACATAATCATTGTGCAAAGTTTCAAAATATGGTTTAGCCAAAATGTCAAAATTCACATGTTTACATTTTTATGTTTTGGCTTATTTTGTAAAATGATGATATTTTTCATTTGGGAAGTCCTTTTTGGAAACCAGTCATTGTAGCATGTTTATTATCATGTCTACAATCATTTCCTAAAGTTTTACATTATTTGGAATTTATTTGATATTTTTAAACAGTGTTTTAAAATCAAAAAAACACTTTTCAGACTTCATACTCATGTATCAGTCATCGGTCGACCGCACCTGTGTTCTTTCGTTAGTGGGCAGCAGAGAGTTTGTCGGTCGACCGCCGCGGTCGACCGAGAGCTCGAGACTTCCCACGGTCGACCGCACCGGTCGACCGAAGAAGTATCTGCTCGTTTTCTCAGTTTGGGATCTGGATCGCGGTTGACCGCGAATTTTTTCGGTCGACCGCCGCTCTGTCAATTCTGTTCCAACGGCTATTTCTTGTTACCGTTGGCTGGGGCTTTTTGTCATTTGCTTGGGGTTTATGCTGAAGTTTTAAGTGGGTATAAATACCCCATTACCTTCAGCTCTCCACATATCCAAGAGAATGTTTTTCAAATAGTTTAACAAGGGTTTAAACTTGTTTAGTGTTTGTTTAAGTTTGTTTTAAGAAGCTTTTAAGCATTTGAGTGTTTCGGTTTTGTGAATCAATTCCACAAGAGCTTGAGGAGATTATCTATTGAAGTTTGAGCTTCCAACTATCCTCCCTCCATCTCTTGTTATCAATTGAGAAGTTTTCTAAACTCAAACTCTAGCTTTACATTTATATACTTGTCAATATCATTGTTCTTAAGCTAGATTTTATATTTGAGTTTAGTTGATTTGATTTGATTTCACTCATTGTTACACACACCCATTTTGAGCTTATTGTATTTGCATTCATAATATATTTGGGTTGGTGAAAGTTGTAACATTGAGTGTGAGCTTTCATTGTGTTCTCATCCATAGTTGAGAACAATCAATTATTGTACTGAGCCTAATTGTGAGATTCACTTTGTAATACACTTGTACACCAAGAGGAGTGTGTGGTGAGAGTCGAGGATCGTCCCAAGAGGAGTGGTATCGGTTGACGAGCCTAGGGAGAGGTTGTAACCGAGCACTTGAGGGAGACACGGCTAGGTCCAACGCTTGTGAGGGTGTAGAGTGTGATTGCAAGAGTATCAATTGTAAAGTTTTCGGTTAGCTAGAAAATCAAGTGTGAGGTGTAAACGTTATTCGGGTGAACGTAGAAAACCCGGTTGTGATAGTGGATTTCTCCCCGGGAGTGGGGAGCGGAGACGTAGGACGGAAGGTCCGAACTCCGTGATCATTTGATTGTGTTTGAGTGTGCTTTGACGTTTATTTATATTTGTGCTCATTGCTCATATAGCCATTGTCTCATTATTCATATCATCATCTATCTTGTTTCATATTGTTTACCCTTGTGTTAGTTTATATATCCTTGCATATATATTTCATCATATAGGATATATCTCATTGTTTACATTGCTTATCCTAGCTCATATATCTTGTGGTATTTCATACTTGCTAGGATAACTTGTTAATTAATTTTAATTAGTATTTAATCGGATTAGATTAGCATAAGACCCTAATCACCCCCCCTCTAGGGTCTAACAATTGGTATCAGAGGGTATCCCATACTACCCAAGTCCCTAACATAGCACCGCCCCTGAAAGCTGACGTCCCGGCTGCTGCACTCTATGACGCTTTATTCGGCGTTGCTTTACTCGGCCTTTCCAGTCAGCCCCTACGTCGGTCAGCCCCTCCATAGGTAGTCCTTTTTGTGACGCCGACAACCAGCTCTGATACCAATTGTTAGGATCCAAGCAACTTGGGGAACCCACCCTTAAAAGCTAGCTGTTAAAGAGGAAGAACCAAGTCACTTAAATACCCTATCAAGATTTCCATTTTACTCGGTGTGGGACTTAGGTATCCCATACTACCCAAGTCCCTAACAGAAGTAG